GAGGTTAGATGTAGGTAGGGGAAGCAGGTGAGGTTAGGTGTAGGTAGGGGAAGCAGTTGAGGTTAGATGTAGGTAGGGGAAGCAGGTGAGGTTAGATGTAGGTAGGGAAATCAGGTGAGGTTAGATGTAGGGGTAGGTAGGGGAATCAGTGTGTCAGTATGGGTGGATTGTTACGTGTGGTAGGTGTGTCAGCGTGCGTGCGTGCACGTGGATGGCTTATTGCCTTACATACATGACAGTGGGGTAGGTGTGGGTCATGGATAGATGGCTTATTGCCTTACATACATGCCAGCTACTTCCTGGTGACAAGGCTTGAGGAAGGAAGAAGCAACTTCCTGATACATGACGTCACAATAGCATCTCTCCATTAACGACATCCCCTTCCTACTATTACTCACTCATGTTCTACTATTACAGTCACACTAACCTCACCTCATTCCCCGCAACCTACATCTAACCTCACCTGCTTCCTCTACCTACATTTAACCTCACCTGATTCCCCTACCTACATCTAACCTCACCTCATTCCCCGCTACCTACATCTAACGTCACCTGATTCCCCGCTACCTACATCTAAAGACTAACCTCACCTGATTCCCCTACCTACATCTAACCTCACCTGATTCCTCTACCTACATCTAACCTCACCTGATTCCCCTACCTACATCTAACCTCACCAGGGATATGTGGGGTATGCCATCCATCCCAGTATGGGTGGGTGGAGACACACCTACCCACATAGCAATCCACCCATCCCTCCACCCACCCACACCACTCTCCCTCTCATTCTCTATCCACAACCACATACAGGCTCCTAGACCTACACATACACCTATCCCTCCACCCACCCACACCACTCTCCCTCTCATTCTCTATCCACAACCACATACAGGCTCCTAGACCTACACGTACACCTATCCCTCCACCCACCCACACCACTCTCCCTCTCATTCTCTATCCACAACCACATACAGGCTCCTAGACCTACACGTACACCTATCCCTCCACCCACCCACACCACTCTCCCTCTCATTCTCTATCCACAACCACATACAGGCCCCCAACCGTACACACACACAGACACACACACACACACACACACACACACACACACACACACACACACACACACACACACACAC